GCCAGGGCACGCATTAGCCCCAATTATCGGTTAAATATTAGTATATTGCTAATTAACAGATTCATATCGTACGATTAGTTACGTCACGCGCCGTGAATACGCTGTAATTATTCGCGCGCCCCCCCCCCCTCCCGCCCCTCGTCCCGCGATCGCGCTCGTCGCAGCGGAGGCATCGATGCGCGGGCACGTAATGAGAGGGAACATGACGTTATTGCGCCATCTCTTTCTCTCGGATAATTTAGAACCGTCGCGTCTCGCTAATCCGGCCTTTCGTCGTCGCCGGGCGACAATCTCGCGCCCCTCCGCCCCCGCGCGTCCCGCCCCCGTTCCGAAAATATTCCGCGGTCGAATTTCGGAGTCTGCACCATCATCATCATCGTCCCCGCCAAGGTGGGGATCGACGACGACAATGACGCGACCGTGCAAACAATGATTCGACTGTTCTCGTTGCGGCGGCGCGTATTTGAAAGTCGCGAGCGGCCTTCGCCGAGAGAGAGCCCGCGACCGAGGGAAAGAGAAAGGGCGGCGGGGTAGGGATGGGAATTGCGACGGGGATCGCGTCCGAAGGGGGCACAGGGGGGGTCTCTCTCTGTTCATTGACATACCGCGGGCCCGGCCGTCGCCGATTTCGCAAAAGTGTCCTTTCGCGCGCTAATTTGTACGGAGAGAGAAATTCTCTCCGTCCCGTTCCCTGCCCGCGACTACTTCTTCTTCTTTGTTTCTCATTCTTGGCACCCGGCTCTAACTCGGCGCCGACACGGCCACGTCGAACCAATAGTCGTTTTGTGTATCGCTTTGGCTTCTGACGATCGGCAACAACTGCGCCGGATCGCGCGCGTACGTGGGCGCACGAAGTCAAAAAATTTCCCAATTACGCGAAAACGTCCGCGCCTCTCGGGCCTCCAAGCGGAACTGCTCTTCGCTCGTGCGGCGACGACGATAGCGTCAAGTTCGATGACTGCGCGGCAAATTCTGCGGAAACCTCCCAAGAGAGTGTCAAGTGTATTGCGCTGTTGACGCCACGCACGTGGGAATTTCACCCTCGACGTAAAAATATTTTCAATTCAAAGGCACGACGTGCAGGAAAATATTATTATATCATCAATAATATTTTCCCGTACATGAAATCTTTTTATGATACAGATCGCGGGAAAGAGAGAGAGAGAGGGAGGGGGGGGGGGGAGAAATGACGATGGTATTTGCGGAGCGTATTTCATCGTATTCTTGTTTTCAAAACATCTTAATATTATGCTGACGGACCTTGTCAGCATTGATATCCTTGGCTCGCCTCGACTCCTTAATAAAAACAGTAAGACTATTTTTAGAAGACTTTCGACCGTTTAGTCCGCGCGGCTTTACCTGCGCAGGGGCCCGCGGAGAAACGATTTCGAGGAAGGAACCGGAAAGGACTTTTCGTCTTGTGAGTTTTCCCTTTCGTTTCCGACCCTTCGTTAATGCGACGAATCCAAGACACATGGCTTACATATTTTGCATTCATTGTCACATGTTCACTGGTCAGAAAGCGAATGCGGGCTCCGAGGCCCTTTGAACCTTATATGGGAGACGCGTACGCGCGTTTACGTCCGCGCGGACGTACGGGCGGGCGAAGATCGCTCGATTGTACGGCCGTCGTTTCTCGATGACATCGCACGTTTTTTTCGCGATTATTAATAACCCATCGCCGAGTGCCGCTCGTTTAATAATAGTATTGTTCCGACGCGCGCGGGATTCGCACGTCGATATCTTATTTACGCAACGAGCGCGCGCCGCACAGGCGACAAAGTTCAAGGGAGGACCCGCCGCGCGTTGTTGTTGACTCTTCCGCGAATCGCTAGGCATTATCATAACGTTCGGTGAATAATTGCCGGCCGTTTATATATCGTTGTTATGTACGCGCCGCAGCATCCCGAACGTCTCTCTCTCTCTCTCTCTCCTTTCCACCTCGCTCCTCGCTCACTTCCCGCCGCCCTCGTGGAAACGTTCGGCCTGTGACGCGTATCGCGTTGCCTGGACGTTCCCCCTGGCGGCGGACCTTCGCGCGGGTCTAAAAACTAGATAAAAAGCGGAGAACAGCTGGTATCCCTGGCCGCAGGAAAACCGATAGATCGGCCGCCGCAGCCCGCGTTTTGTTTGACATTATCTAAAATCTCCTTCGTACTCGTGCATATTTGTTTAGGAGCGCGAGAGCGTGACGTTACGAAAAGAGCGCGTGGGATCTCTCGGGGCAGAATTTTACTTTGAAAAAGTTCGCTTATACCTACATACGTGTTATTTATAATACAGTTGTACACACCCAGAAAAAAAATGACTCAGTCGAATTAAACAAATGAGGTACGCTGAAATTATGTTTCTTTGAATCTGTTAAATTTTTATTTACCTGTGATAAAACATTTGCCAGATTTGAAGATACGAATTCTCTCGGAAATTCCAGTCTCGATGAGATAAAACTGTGGTCGGGGTAAAGGAGTCGTCTCTCTGAAATTAAATAAAAGCCTATTAAGGTCAAAATTCAAACAAACTTTTTTTGTGCTTATACAAAATTATTTATCATAATCATTTTACTCTACTAAATCTAAAAACCCAGGAAAGACTCTTACCGTTTGAACATTGTGTACTGTATAGAAACAATGAACGCTTTAATAAATAATTTTTAAGGCAAATCAAATCGCTCGCACAAAAATTTTAAACTCGCTGCGAAATGGAATGTTTCGCAAGGAGCGCGTTGCGAACGGGCTTTGAAAACGTTGCGAGACGGAAAGAGAAGGACTCGTCCCGTAACGCCGCTGGGTGCGAAACGGCGTTTTCCTTCAGCGGGGCTTCCGTGTTCTCGGCCCCTCGTCGCGGCTCCTAATTAACCGTCATCTCGGACGTTATCGTCGCGTCATGTGGACTCCGCTGTGTACTCTCGCGCGGGTCACGCGGCATCGCCATTACGCGTCATTACGCAACATCATTGTACAATATTTGCCGTGCGCGATCCGCAGACGCGGGCACACGGCGCGCGCGTACGTGTGTACATTGCGGATTGCCGCTGACGTAGTGCATTCCTGAGATTACAGGTGGACTACTTTTCAGAAAACGCGCGCCGCGCGCGGCCGATAAGCGGGGCGCATTCTCTCCCGCTATCGATCTCCTCCCGCCCGCCGCGCGCGCCGACCGCACGACTCGCGCTGCGAGAGGATTATCTATCGGCGCGTCAGCAAGATTTACGGAAGGGAACCCGCGCGCGCGCGCGCTCGGCCACTGCATCGACGATGATCGACGATTGCGAGCGCGCGCTCCGTCTATATTAATAAATTATAAGCGGACGCGCTCGTATCCGGAGTAGTAACTGGACCGCGCGGCGTCGGAGTTACGGGACATCGGGTCCTGAGACTGAAGGGTCCGAAGGACGCAGGCCGGGCAGGACGCGACTTTCGGCTCCCCAGGAATCGTAGAATGAAAAACGGGAGATGACTGCGTGGGACTTTCCCCGCCGCCTTCGGAATCGTACTCCTGTTTTCGCAGGCGGCCAAAAATGCCGGACCCCCGTCGCGAGTGCGCGTACCTGCCGCGCCGGGCGGTACACTGCCGATCTCCTCGATTATTCATAAAGCTTCTCCGAGAATGCGGGGACAAGTTGAAAGAACGCCGGCACAGGTAGCCGGGGAGAAAGGGAAGCGACCGTCCCGGTGCGCCGACGAGAGTCACCGCGGGGCGACCGGCCGCCTTTCCAAGTCTCGAAGGAATCCGAGAACCGACCGGATGCAACTCCAGAATGGGAATGCAAGCGAGCGGCCGCGCGGTGTAGCGCGGCGCGGCGCGTGTACGGAGGCTCCGTTACTCGTGTATCGGGGTATTTCCCAGAACGCGACTATAAACAAACAAACACATCGAATTGGTGGGACAAGGAGAGAACGAGAGTTAGCTAGAGAACGGGGAGGGGGAGCGGTAGGGGGGCGACGGGGCGAGAGAGAGAGAGAGAGAGGAGGGGGGGGGGGGATGCGCGGCGCGTGGGAGCGGCGCGCTCCCTGCCACAGGGAGGGAGGGCCCAGCGAGGGGGGGAGCGCGCGGGGGCGGGCGCGCCGGGGGCGGGGGAGGGGACGGGCGGGAGGGGGGGGGCGGGATCCGGGCGCGGGCGGTGGAAGGAACCCCCCTCCCGGCCCCCCCGGCCCGGCGGCGCGTTCGCCAATTGCGCGACCGGTGCATGCGCCGTGCGTGGGGTTTCCCTGGTTTCCCCCGCCGTCCGCCGGGCGCGAAAACCGTCGACGGACGCCCCACCACCGCCGCGCGCGGCGGATAGGCGCGCACACACACGCTTCCCCTCCGGCGCTCGCCCGTTCGAAATCGCAACGTAAAGTCGTCGCGGGCGCGAGCGGCGACGGTGACAAACAGTCGACGCTGTTTACCATCGATAATGCGAAGGTATCGGGAGGGGTGGTGGGGGTGAGGGCGCTAGCGAGCCTCGCTCTAAACCGCCCTACGGCGTCTGCCGCCGCCGCCGTCATCGCGGACTCGGAATATCGCAGGCGCGGGGTGGCTTTCGCTGCCATCCGCGCGGCAGCTGCGCCCGCCCGGGGTCGTTAATCTCGCGCTAACGCGAGATCCGCTCCGTGAATTCGTCCTCTCCGCCGAACTCCGCATTCCGATCGCGTCGGGGGAGGGAGGGGAGCCTGGCGCGCTCTCGTCCCCCCGGTGCTTTCGTTGCAATTTTCGCACTTGACCGCAGGGCCAGGCGTGCTTTACGATCCGCGGTAAGATTACCGGCGCGACGCGACGCGCTGCGACGCGGCGGCGGCGGCGGCGGCGGCGGCGGTGGCGGCGGCGGCGAGAAGGGGAAGCCGCGGGAGCGCGCGTTACCCCTCGCGCGGCGCCCCCACCACCGCTCCCGGATGCGGACCCTCGCGCCGGCGGTGGTGGGGGCACTCGCCGTCGGGGCCGCGGAGTGGGGAGGCGGAGAAGCTTGCCGCCAACGTCGGGTACGTGCCGCGTGGTGGGGAGAAAGCGCGGGTTAGCAGCCCGGACACGCCAACCGTCGGGTTCAGTAAGCGAACGGCTCTCAACGGCCACGAACGTGTTTTTCGTTCTTCGGTTCCCGCGCATGCATATATATATATATACATATTACACACGTATATATATATATGCATATATATATAAATACACGTAACGGCGATATATATATGTGTTACTATCCGAGACTGACCCGCGAGAAACAACACTGTCGTCGGGAGTACGCAGTCGGTGATCGGCGACCGCGGCGACGTGACGACCAACCGTAGTCAGATCGTAACAACAACAACAACAACAACAATCAGCCAGCAGCAGTTACAACCGCGACACAGATCCGCTTTTTCGAGTTTCCGCAATTATCCGCCTGCCAATCGCGTCCATCCCCATCCCCCGCCCGGGACTAAAAAGAAACCAAAAAGAGACGTAATAAGGAAGAAAAAAAATTTTCTCTGTCATTCCGCTCCGCAAAACGCACTTTCCCTACTTACCCTCCCCCCGTCATTTCGGTTTCGGTCCTTCGTCTTCGTTCCCGCAACTGTGGCTTCAATCAATCAAACTGGATTCCAACAAGCAGTACATGTCGCGAATACTTCGCGGCTACCGGAGGTTTAAGAAACTTTGCAAGGTAAGAGACATCGCCGGTCCGCCTCGGACGCTCGCGACGCACCGCGCGCAGTGCGGGGTGAGAAACGCGGCGACATCAGTGCGCGAGAATCGGGGGTGGGGTGCGTTTTTCGTGAGGGCCGTGCCCGGGACGGACGCCGCCGCTGGCGCGGGCGAGATTTAGCGCGCGTGACAACCTCGACGAGGATGACGCGGCTGTTTGTTAACGCCCGACGTTTCAGCGCGAGAGCCGCGGCGGGGTGCGAGGATCGGCGTCCGCGACTTCCTGCCCGCCGCGGCGGGTGGAGTCCCTTCGATCAGAGTCCGGCCAGTTTCCGGCCGAGTGACGCGAGGGAGAAAGAGATTCCCTCGCTGCGCGACGCTGCGCGTAGAGCGAGAGGCAACGTTATTCTCGGCTCGCGTCATTTCGCCAAAACCCGCCCCCGTTGACCGGAGGTTCTGTAATTCCCGCGAGTGAGAGAAAAACACGGGCCATCTCGCTCTTCTGTGACCGCAACAGGGTCGTCTCTAGGCTGGACTTATTGTTAGAGACTCTAGTGGCGGGAAACGAGGCGCGCGCGCGCGCTGTCTTTGCGCTCGCGGATCGGAAGAGGACGAGAGTCGCGAGCGCGCGACGCCCACCGAGCGCTATCGCCGGGGCGCGTTTCGTCCGCTCTCTCGGCGCCCGCGGGATAAATACGCGGACTCGCCGCGGTGTTGACGCGACGGATCGCGAGGCACGCGCGAGATCCCGAGGACGAGGCCGAGACTCGTCCGCTTCGGGACGGAGGGGACGGCGCTCGGGTGAAATAAATAACGCGGGACGGAGACGCGAGAGAGAGAGAGAGAGAGAGAGGAGAGAGGAGGTTATTATACTGCCCCGCGGCATGAATAATTTACGCTCGCTCGAATTTAAATAAATTCGCCCGCCGCCGTCGCCGTCGCCGTCGAAAAACTGCGAGCGCGTAATCTCGGAGTCACGAAGGATGTTTACGGTCGCGCGCGCGCCGCGCGCAGTTAATTTTAAACGAATTCGCCCGGATATCGTCGCCGGCTATCTCGTCCTCGTTATCGCCGCCCGTTATTTATGTTATTCCGCGAAATTACTTAGAAGCCCGTCAATTAGGTTCCCCGGCCGATGCAGTCGGCGCTCGTAAACACGCGTGACGTAAGCTAGACATAACGCGGCGTTACGGGCGGCGAGGGGAGCGCGGCGGCGCGATAGGCGATAATATTCGCGGCTGACGAAACAATTTGTACGAGGGTAGAGGAGAAAAGAAGAAGATCCGTCAGGACAACTGGCCACTCTTTCTCTCTCCGTCGAGTTGTTTGCCGCGATACCGATTAATCGATCGGGCCCTCTAACTTTGCCAAACACACGGTGTCCTTGTGTTCGGCGCGCGTGACGACTCCGATAGCGGGAACGTCGCGAGTATCGGTATCGCGCGCGCGCGATCCTCTCGGATGTGTGCGCCGAAAATAAAAGTGAAAGAAACAGCGGAGGAGAAAAGGAGCAGAGAGGAGAGAGAGAGAGAGAGAGAGCGCGCGCGCGAATGATTATGGAAACCGACGGAGGCCGTAAGGTCGTGGCCGACCGTGACACGTGAACCGTGGATGATCGAGCGAGATTCCGTCACGCCCGCATACGAGGGGGGAATTGTGTCGCTGTATACGAGCGACGTCCGCGGATGATGTATCTCGGACGAAAAAAACATGTTTGGTCCGCGGCGACCGGGTGTTTATGCGAAGTGCGCGCCGTGCGGGAGCGAACGCTCTAAAGGTTTCCCGGAGCGGCCTCGATCTTCGTTCCCGCGGCGCGAACGATAGGGGGGGACCGTGAGAGAGAGAGAGAGAGAGAGAGAGACGGAAAGAAAAATAGAGAGCAGGAAGGAAGCGCGCGCGGTTCGGAAGAAGCCGAGACCCCGCGGCGGCCCGCCGGCTGTCGAACTCGCGCGCGACGTACGTACATTCGGCGCCCGATCTCGCGATTGTTCCGCCGCGCGTAAACTCCCGGGGCCCGGCGCGCGCGAATCCAAATGCGACCGCGCGCGCGCCACGGCGGATAATGGCGGGCTCGCCGCGCTGATGTATCCTATCGCAAATACCAGCGCGGGCGAAATTATGATCCACGCGGCGTGTGCCCGTGGCACCTCCGGATTAGTAGAGCCCACCCCTACCGCGGGCGCCCCGCGTCGGCGGCGCATAATTCTCGGGACTTGGCCCCGAACCGGGGTGCGACGCGGGGGGAGAGACTCTCCGCGGCGCTGCGCGCTAATTGAAAAACAATTCGGGGTGGCTCGCGCTGACGGGACCACCGCGCGTTATCGAGCGCCACCGCGGCCCTCGACAGCGGCGTCGTGTATTACTTGCCGTATTTATTTCCGACTGTATTTCCGCAACCGGACCCCCTACCACCCTCCCCCTCCCCCCCCCTGTCCCGCCGTCGTAACGGTAATAGAAATATAATTGCCGTCTGTCGATCGCGATTAGAAATCGATTAACACGACCCTCGTCCGTTTGTCTCTCTCTCTCTCTTTTTCTTTCTCTCTCTCTCCTCTCTTCTCTCAGTTTTACCACGTTCACGCTCTGTTATCTCGCACACGTCGCATGCCGCAGCTCCGTTAATCCGCAAATAATCCCAAACGCTATTGCGCGATGCACGCTTGACGGCAATGACGATACACACGATGCATTAGAAACGTTATTGCCGCGCCTCCCGACTCTCCGCTCCCCCTCGCCCTCTCCCCGCCGCCCCGCGACGCGGAAACGGCACCGACGCGACGGCGTGCGTGCACATTCCTCCGGGCTCGACAGAGAAGATCGCCGTCCTCGGGGGCTTTAACTATTGTCCGCTCCCGAGGCGGATCGCAACAAAGTCGAAATGTGTTTAAGGTCGACTGTTGCCCTGTCGAGAATCCCCCCCGCCCCCCGTGCCCCGCCGGCTCTCGTAGCGCCCGCGCACACGCACGCACGCACGCACGCACGCACGCACACGCACGCGGCTTTTCCACGCGGCGAGAGAAAGAGAGAGACCCCGTTAGAGCTCGCTTTACCCTCACCGGCAACAACATTCAGTCTCACGCTTCGGAGCCATTGTACAGAAACGCGTTTCCCTCACCTCGTGGACCCCTAATTAAAGAAGAGCCGAACGGAACGAAGCGCATATTGATTTCGTTTACCTGCGGCGGTCGGGGGTGCGCGGGGGGCCTTTAACCGCCTCTTATCGCAAGTAAAACGTCTCGCCGGGGGCGACAGGACGGACCTGTGTTTATACCCCGTCGGGATGTTGCATTTGTACGTACACGCGTAAAAGGCCCGCGATCGGTGCGAACACTTGACACAATGCCGCGGCGTCATCGCGTTTCTTCTACGAAACCCGCCGATCCGCACTTTGTACTTATCGTCAATTTTTGCTCGACGGCTCCTCTCCCCAATCCTCCCTCCCCCTCCCCGGCGGGGAGGGGGGGGGAGGAGGAGGGCGCTTTTTAATATCTATTATATCGCCGCTCGTGTGCGCCGGTGGCACTTTCGTTCGCACGCTTGGAAAACATTTATCCGCGCCGAGCATCTTCTTCTCGCTTTCTCGCTTGTAATCAACGAGCTTTAATTAACGAGTCCACCCCCCCTCCTCTCCCCCTTCCACCCCCACCCGCACCGCGAATCAAGGGCACGGACCGTGCATTCTTTTCTCCCGTTACAATTCGCTTCCGCTCTTATCGATACGCTTATCTGCGCGCCCACCTTCGACGGGAGGACCGAGGGCCCCCCCGACGCGCCAGAGGGAAGGCGCGCGGCGTGTTGTCGCGGCGGACGAACTGTGTTCTATTCAATTCCATTCTCGCTCCCGTTCCCCACCCCATCGTCGAACGAGAACGCTTTTATTCGCCGACATCGGGCGCGCGCGTGATCCAATTTAACCCGCTGCCTCGCTCGCGACATGTTTCTCAGCGTCTGCGAATGCAAAACATCTCATTCACGGGCAAAAGTGCCGGGCCCGGCTGCGCCAGCAGGCGTAGTCGCCTTACCTGCGAGAGAGCGGCAAAAACAAGAGCACTGGCGCGCGCGCGAGAAAGAGAGGGCGAGAAACGCGGGAGGAGAGAAGGAAGGAGACAGACGTTGGCGGCGGCGGCGAGTATATAGAGAGAGCGTCGCACTCTCCTTTGCCTCCCTTCGTCCTCCGTCCGCGCGAAGGGAAAGGGAAAGGAGGGAAGGGTAAAACCCGCGTACCGGGAGAGAACGCGGAACGCCATAAGATGGAGGAGAGAGAGAGAGGGAGGGAGGGACGAGCGGGCGGGAGAAGGAGAGAGATAGAGAAGACGCGCGCGGGGCTAAAATTAGAATGTCCGTTGGAATGCCGCTGGTAGTGATGGTGTGTACAGGATGATTCAGCGAGCGAGAGAGAGCGGGAGGAACGAGAGAGAGAGATGGAGGAGAGCAGATAGTTTATTTCGTCCTGCGACGAGGACTCCGAAGGCGCGTAGCGGATTTACCCGCCGCGAGTGGTACTCGCGTGCGGGCGCGAGGGGCTCTCTCTCTCTTTCTGTGTATGTGTGTGTGTGTGTGTCTCTGTCGTGTGTGTCGCTCTTTTTCTTCCCGCGGGGCTCCTGCTCGCGCAGCCGGAAATAGATTCGCGTATCGACGCGCACCGAGAATAGCCCTTTAACTTTTTCAGCGCGAGATTTCACGGGGCGGACGATAGTAGAATTGTAGTAGCAGCGGCGGCGGCGCAGCGACGACCATATGCGCGATTCGACGACGGTGCTATTTTCAAATAGCACAAATGGGACATTATTTGCGTCGCGCGCCCGCTCTCGCGCTTGACGGACGAGGAACTCGATTGTCGTAGCCTGCGGATCGGAAATTCCGCTCGCGGTGCTCCCTCGAATTGTCATCGACGAGCGCGGCGCTTCTCGTTCTCGAGCGACGAAATACGGAGCGAGGTGTCACGCGTAGTTTCAAGTCCCTTAATTGTAGACTTTCAACGCTCCCGCTTAGAGGCCCCAGGCGCCACTCCGAGTCCTT